TAAGTTTTCGTGTTTCTTCCTGAACTGCATTTATGTTGTGTTTACTTGATACTAAGTCTTGGCAACAACCATATTGGTTTGCATTGGTTTGTTCCTCCTTCTGATTGTGTTGCTTGTATTGACTAGAATTGTACATTATTGATTGTGAATTGAGACACAATTCCAGAATTGACAGCACTCTGTGTTATAAAGCAATCAAATAGTATGTTTTGAACGAATCTGTGCGTGATCTATCCAGACAGGATGGAATAACATTGATTTGTTGCGATTGGTAATTTTTTCGCATCCTTTATCAACTTCCTTATTTATTGTGATTTAGATTTGATTCATTGAACAATTATTGTCTGAATAACTGGGTGGTCATGTTTGTTTAGGCAATAGGGTACATTTAAATTTATAATGAATTTCAGAATCGTCATTTTACTCAATCACATTGTTTTGCTTTCATCTGGGCAAAGGCGCGTATCTAACCCACCTAGACACCTATTCTTCAGTCCAAACCTTAGTTTGCATCTAACACCTCCAAGAATTTGTACGTTAATTAAAATGAAGTATCTTTCAAATTATGAAAACAAAATTTATATACCAGAAAATTTACGAAGTTGTAGAAGGTTTTTAACGTCATTCAGATTTTCTCTAAATGGACTGTTAGAGTTATTCATGACATCGAATGATGGAATATATATGAGACTTTTCTCTACCTAACAAAACTTTAAACAGCATTATAATATTGTCAGAGTGGGTATCCGTTGAGATTGCAGTAATTTTAACCTTGGGATTCATGAGTATCATATTAAACGGCCTTCCGGTGATTCCACGTTTTTAAAGATGGCCAAGCCGAGATTGATTAATGGATTCAAGCATTGTCGTATTCGCCATAGTAGTTAAATTTCACATCACCAGAGAGATACACTCCATGTTTTACGCTATGCAACTCATCCAGTCTATGTAAATCCATCAGAAGTGTGACAAAACAGGAATCACATAGAAGACTTATCCTCATCACAAAATATGAAGTTAGTTGAACAATACAACTGAGATGGTAAATGACTGGAGTGTTTATTCATAGCTGGAACAACACCATCTATGAATTGACAACCAGAACATTTGCTTTCACTTCATCTTCTTTTTAGAAAAGTAGTAATAATTTGTAAAATGAGAATTCCACTCATCTTTGATGTTTGTAAATCGGTGACTGTCAGCCAAATAAAGAAACTTATTATTAGAAAGCGATGTTGTTTTATTCTAACGAAGACTGATATTACACCCACGATACAGAATAGAGAATACCATATTATTTGATTATTTGAGATGGAATGAGGTGATCAATGATAAACAAAGTATAATCATAGCTGATTCTATAAACAAAAAAGAGGTCAACACAAATATGTTTGTTCATTAGACAAACACGTTGTTTACAATGAGATTGAAGAAGTAATCAATATTACTTTGAATATTTTATTGAATATGACAGAAATGACAGGACTTGATGTTGTGTTATATTCAATGTGATGAATGAGACAGAATTCTCAATCGTTTTGCAAATCTTATTCTTCAATGCATACGATATACAGGTTTGTGGTGCTTGTATAAATTAGTGATACCTTTGTACTTGAAGACTGTTCGATTTCTAATTCCGAATATATTACGTTTGTCTGTCCTCATCAATATAACTCAACCTTTATCAGGAAATATGGCTGGTGACTGTCAATGCAATCCATGATGCGCTTTTCTCCCTATTTCTGACTCGTCAGCTGGATATACCTGCATCCTAGAATTGATGTTCCCTTCCGTGCACTCCAACCCAGTATCGTTCGTTTCAAGCGGCATCGTGTTATTCACTTAGTTTGATTGATTTCTTGAATAATCGAAATCTACACAGACTGAATACTGTGATATTTTGCTATTCACTCATCATTTAAAAGTCTGGTTCACTCAACAATATGTTGAATGATACTTCGATTCCTGGAAACTTGTATCATTCAAAGAGTATTGGTGTTATGCAGCTAATGTGATTTAGAATCTTAATTTTTTAATTTATTGTTATGGCTTAAATTGACGTTGTTATTGTCATTACTGATTGATTACTTTACTACTTATACAAATATCAGTAGCTTCAAACAGTGCGTCAAAACACCATAGTTCAACACATGGTCTAATGCATACAAATGCTCAGATTAACTCAACTATACTATTAAGATGTCGTGTTCAACTTCAGATTGAGAATGATCTTAGGGAAAATCATTCAGAATATTAAGTGGAGTAGTGAAGCATACAAGTCAGAAGTTTCTTCATCATCACCAACCGCACCAGGAGCAGTTTGGTAAGCTATCAATCCAATATTTATTGCCAGATCAGTTGAAAATCATTGTTGACTAGGTGAAAGATGGTTTTGGTTATGATCAAGATACATTGAGACAAACATTTGATGAAAGGTATACACTGGTTGAATTTGAAGACGAATGTTAGTCATTACACGCGGCCTTACCTTCACGCAACAAAATACCCTCTTACAATTTTGACTGGTTTGTTCAACTATTCGTTCTACTCAATTTTACTGTAAGTTTAGTTAGTTCGATAATTGTTTCTACTTTCTTCAATATGATGAAATAATGCAAATCAGTGGGATTGAAGCAAAGAACAAACTCTTAGTTGAACCCACAATGAAGTGTATTTTAACAAGTGGTGAATTCTGAGTTGAAATGTATATGTAACATTCACTATTTTGATTATCATAAAGCTGTCCTTCCAGTTAATTGATTTGTAACGATCACATCACAATTCACTTGATAAGATGATAATCAACATTACAAACTGTGATCAAATATTGAGATTGTGGAGAGAAGATCTGTTACTCAGAAGGTTGATGTTGTCTCTTTTGCACCGGTTCTTCAAAGCCAATCAATATTCATTTTCTCCTTATATACGTTCATTTTCAAATTACATTTTAAGTAGTGTTCGATTCAGTATTATCAATTCTGCATTAGATACATGATTCAATCAGTTATCTTTTGTTTTTATTAAAACAAATTCAATGTACTTGTTATAATGGTTGGTTTTCCACGTTTACACGTATGAGACGTTAATTTACCTTAGACAAATATTTACACCAGATTCCTTCCCAGTGTCTATTATTCTACAGAACTTCAGCACACATCTGCGTGGGTGGTAAGAAATACTCAAGCATACATCTGCATACAAGCTCCACAAAGATAAAATTACAAAATATGAGTTTTGGGGATCTAACGTCGCCGACAAATTCCGAATACCAAACTATCATAATTTTACGTTTGTATTGTGATATGTGCTACTGATATCGAGAGATATAAGTAGTATATATCAGCAGTCGAAAGCGAAATACCTGGTGGTAGAAGGTTAAGAATTACGAAGAAAAGGGAATGGGAATAGAGAATGATTGGTTGGGAAACGAAGGGACAATGATGTCTCAGACAATTAATTGATACAATGCAAATGAAGTATTTACTATATGGGTCTCAGATACTACTACTAAGGCGTTCTGTAATTGTGTATTCACATACATTTGATTGTCTCACTTGTGTTCTTATTCACTACAGTATTATTAAAAATTATTATCAATTACTTTCTTCATTAGAAATAGATGCATTTTGTACTTTGGTTCAATTGTCGACTAACCTTTACTCTTGTTTTATTTATTCTTCTATTTTCCAGCTTTTTATTTGTTTTCACATATGCTACTTTACATGATCTCTTAGTATCTAAATTACATTCAGATTAGATCGGAATCATTAGAGTCTATAAAATATATTTTTTTTAAATAATAATTTTTGTCGAGACTCTAATTTATGGACGAGCCAATCAGGAGCGCTTGAGAGTTTTCAATGTCACAGCTCCAATTTCAGTGCGTGATGCTCACATACAATCGGTTTACAGCGGATTTTATAGAAGACGTGATAATTGAGCGGATACAACAAATAGGATTACAAAGAAGTTCGTTTATTTGTGTCTGGGGCAGTCAAATGAATTCTGTACTGTGTACAGACTACCATAATGAAGTTGCCTTTCGATGTTGTTTATGTTGGAACAAGAAGTGTGAAAGAACAGGAGCTTTCGCCGCTCGATCTCGATTGAAACTAAAGAAAATCATGATAATTGTTGCGAATCGGATAATAAAAGCGCCAGTAACACTAGCTGCAACATTTGCAGATGTTACTGAAGCTTTGGATGTTGAGTGGTATGGGTATTGTAGAGGTATATATGCAACAAAAACGACAAGCTTACGCGAGTCTTTTGGAGGGAGTTGAGAGAATCGTTGAAATAGACGATACAATAGTGAGGAAATGAAAGTGTAACAGAAGACGTAGTAATACAATAGACTGGATAAGTAGCACTTCTATGCATATTCCTCAGAGGTCCTTGGAATTTAAGACATATCATCTCAATAGGGGCACTTCCAGCGGGTCAGAAACCGATAGGCAATGACAATAATACCAATTACTCGGGAATATGTACAGCCAGGCACAACAATATATACAGAGGATCGGAGAACGTACAGGCGCCTATATAGAATTGGTTATGAGCATCGTGTCGTTGTCCACAAGCGGCATTTTGTGGATCCAACAACCGGAGTGCACACAAACAATAATGAAGTTATGTGGTCGAGCTGAAAGAGCTTTTACGATACTATTATGGCTCGAGAAGCCAACTATTATGGAGCCATATGGATAAGTTCCTCTACTGTATGCATTACGATTTCAGAACTTCTGAATCTCTTTCTAACCTTGAAAAGTTTATAAATCATATAAAAGAAGTGTATCCACTTTAATTCTTTGGCTTTGTTTAGTATATATTTCTACTCTATATTAACTGTTTTTTGATTGGCTAATAGTCTCGATACTATAATTTGCAGACGAACCAATCAGAAACGTCTAATGGATTTCAATGTCACGGCGCCAAATTCACCAGCTGATGCTTAAATTCTTTTTAATCAATTGAAATATCAGAAATTTACATTGAAGCCAAAGAAATTTTTTTATAAAAAATATTACACAAGAGTTCAATATACAACTTTATATTGAACAATGATCATTGAAGTCAAATGAACAGAATAGAAAGATCAAAATAGAGTTTTAAGATTAATAATAAAAGAAGATCAATTCATGAAAAGGAGCATATTTTAAATCATTTCATTATTATTATCATTATCATTATTATTATTATTATTCTTCAGATCCTCCACTAATTTCAGATAGATTATCATTGATATCAACTCCATATGCTTGTAATTCTTCTTTATTTGGTTTAATATATTTACCATTATAGAATGATTGAATTTTAACTTGTTTTAATGTTTTATTTAAACAATCCATAATATTTGTATGTGGCATATGAGTTTTTAAACCTAAATTATCATATGTTAATATAATGGATTTTTGTTTAGATTGTTGTTTTGGTTGCTGTGGTTGCTGTGGTTGCTGTCGTTGTTGTTGTTGTTGTTCAATGAATAATTTTAATGGTTCTATACAACGTTGAATATATTCATGTGTACCACGTGGATCATGTAATTCATATGAATGTGGTGATTCCCAAAATCTCAATTGATTTTCTGTGATATTGATTTTATTTAATTTAATTTCATCTAATAACCATGTTATTGTATCTGGGGTAAACATTTCATTGAATGTTCGTTGAATTTTTTCTTTACGAATTAATTTCACTTTTTTTACTGTATTTGGATCAATGAAAACTTTAATTGCTTTCCATATACCATGAAAAAATGTACCGTGATTATTTATTTAAATTTATATAAAGTTTCTGGATAACAATCAGCAAATGTTTGTACAAATTTCTTACCAATTTTTGGATTACAACAAGCAACCGTTAAACCTAATTGTGAATAAATGAGAAAAGACAAACAGACGATAAATGAAACAATATTTTGTCCATATAATCAAAGAGGGATTGGGGGTAGTCTTGTGGAGATGATAGTTAGTTGAATAGTTGAATTTATGAGTGAATTGAAGTTAGATCGTTATGGAAATACTGGAAGTAGTGGACGTCTGTTTAGTTCTAGAATGAGATAGCAGAATGGCAGTATGCATCTTGCATGTGGGACTAGAATTCAAGGTGTTTGTTCTTACACGCAAACCGTTAACCTATAAACCATTGTGTGACGACATACCACGTGTGAACTTGAGGAAGCTGTAGGAGACTCAGAGAAAGCCGAAGATATTCCATCCAATTATCTTTTGGAAGAATACTCTAGAATTCCTACGTGTAGCTTCCGATTTGTAAATGCTAATGACCCTCTGTATGCGGACTGGTGGACTGTAATGACAATTTTGTACTATAATTGACACTGTCTGGGAATAATATTCCATTCATTAGTCTTCTGTCTTCTCATTGCGACTTGGAAGCGTTCTGGCGTTCTAGTGCTCACGTTATACGCGGTATATCATAAACAACCTTCCAGATACAACACATTAAGATGGGTTCAGGTTTCGCGTGTAGGATCATGGATGCACATTGCTGAGGAGTCCTATAATACGAAGAAATAGCTGTAGAGTGCTTCTAAGTTTTCAATAGTGGTCTACCTGTGATCGACTTATGAATTCAACTATTAAAATTATTAGCATCTCTACAAAATCTCCATTACGATTTTATTGATTCGCAAAATCACAAAATCATCTTCTGTCCCATACTAAGCCAAAATGGAGATGACAACAAACGAAGCATTATTAACTCTTTGAAAATGTGATAACATTAAACGGAATACCCTAATTTATAAACTGATTCTACACAAACTTGATAAGCAGTTAATGACTATCACATCAAACTGATAAAAATTATATTGGAAGGGAATTTCGATGAGATTTTAGTAATTTTTAATAGTTGAATTCATTAGCCAAATGAAGCTAGACCATCATGGAAAATCTGGAAGCACTGGACGGCTGTTTCGTTCTATTATGGCATACCTCAGTGGCAGTGCACATTCAAGAGGTATTTCTTGGAGTTCTAGTAAGAAGCCATGACCAAGAGAATACAACCGTGTTTGTTGTGTGATAGTAACTGAATGATGACAATAATGGACGGTGGGGCAATTGGTGGATTATTTGAAGTCAGAAACTAACACTGTTGGATGCCGACTCAATGATCTAGATGTTAAACGCTCGAGAGAGACCAACAGGTCCTGGGTTCGCATCTCACGAGGCGGGTTTTAAATGCACACTCCTGAGCAGTCTCATACTAGGATTTGTCGCTGATTAAAATGAAAGCAAAGAGTAGAAAAGATAAAAATAAATGAAACGGTCTAAGATATCAAACGTTTAATAAGATGGTAATTTTATTTAGCAGTATAGGGTTTTGGAGATTATTAGATTTTTGACTGACATCATGAATTGATTGATGTCAGACCATCAATGAACACCTGGAAGCAATGGACAGCCGTTTCGTCTTATTGTGGGATGCCGGCTGAGTGATCTAGAGGTTAAGCGTTCGCGCGCGAGACTGAATGCTCTGAGTTGAAATCCTGCGAGCGGGATCGTGGATGTGAACTGCCAAGGAGTCCCGCAATAGGACGAAACGATCGTTGAATGTTTCCAGGTTTTCAATTGTGGTCTAACACCAATCGATTCATGATCCCTATCAAAAAAGTTTATTCAGACCCATTAGAATATTAGAAAGACTAAAATATTCTGTTTCTTTTATTATTTGCTGATAAGTCAGTCTACAGTGAATTTTTTCCAATCTATATTTCCCCATGGATTGCTCAGGACAGAGTTCGATGGAGAATACTGCTGATCGGTCTATGCTCCTCGACGAGGGGTAATAGGCATAAATAAGTATGTAAGTAATATTTCCTCATCGACCTATGTTGTTATCTGATTGGGTGTTCTTATTTCCAGTTCAGTAATTCTGTTATATGTAGAGTTTATATTTATTACTATATGTAGATTTGGTTTTTGTTTGAGTTTTTGACTCCTCAGTTTCTTCGATTACTAGATGTCCAGTCCATAGAGTTAGCCTACATCATGTTTCGTGTTAGAATAATAATCGAATGATTTTTAATTTGGAATAAGCATAGGCTATCTCTAAATGGAATTTAAAACTACTCTGTTTGGTGTTATTTGTCAACAACAACAACAACAACAACAACAACAACAGTAAACTTAATCAACTAATTTGATTATTAGGCAGTAGTAATGTCCTATTTGTAACTTATTCCAGTTAGATGTACTTGCTTGCTTCTAATGTTAATGTTCACATTGAGGTTTTAACTCAATAAATATCACTTCAAAAGAATAAGAATAAGGAGTAAGTCACTCAGCTAACGAATTCACAAATCAATCAATTCGTTGACATATTGAGCAGAATCATTAACCTAAATTTAAATAAAGATCTTATCTGCTTTATATGAACACTGGTCATGGTGTTCATCATCATAATAATAATCCAGCACAATCAGACTTCCGAGAATGTTGTAAAGTACATAAACAAACAACAATAATAACTCACAACTGAATGAAATCCTGGTGTTTCATGACACCATTTACATTGAATTGTCAATGGTTGATATTCTCGACGCCATTCTACAGCTGATTTCAATTGTTTAAAAGCATCTTCAACAACATAATTTCTTGCCACAAGAAATCGAGTTAATCTAATAATAAGTTGAGGAGAAAGAGAGTAAAAATAAATATCAGGTGTATAAAGTAGATTGTAGTTTTCTTGATTGAAACAATTCAATGGTTCTCATTAAGTAATTGAATTGAGTAAAAAATGTTAGTCCGACAAGAAATTGATTGTTACCTGTAATATGTAGATGCTTATATTCTTGATATACCACGTATAACTAGAGCACTTGAACGCTAGAACCCTTTCAAGTCGCAATGAGAAGACAGAAGACTAGTGAAAGGAAAGTTATTCCAGATAGTGTTAAATTATAGTACGAAACTGACATTATTATAGCTGTCCAATCCGCACACAGGAGGTTATTAGCATCGTCCAATCGGGAAGCTACACGTAGAGATACTAGAATATCCTTCCAAAAGATGATTGGATGGAATATCTTCGGCACTTTCTGAGCTTCTTAAAGCTTTCTCGAGTTCACTCGTCGACCGTCCTCACATAACCCAAATAGATTAGTGATGGTGTATGTGAGTGTAATGTGAGAATCCTCTAATCATGATACAACCCATGTTCAGATCATTTAACAGTAACAGTATTGAGATTTAATATTAGAAAATAATATAAATGTTCTAAATGATTATACAGTTGATCAGGAAAAACGAAGAAAATGCTATGGAGTGCGATTGTGTACATTGTTTGGGAATCCTTGCATATCCATTATGCTTGAAATGAAATACTTTGTATTGAATGAATAAGTACGGAAACCAATAGGATGTATAATTGTATAATAACGCATTTTAGTTATTACTTACTTGTGCCTGTCACCCCTCGTGCAAAAGCATAGCCCACCCACCAGTATTCTCCATCTAACTCTGTCCCACGCAATCCTTTTCAGCTCCTTCCAGTCAATATTCATCCTTTTCATATCTACTTCTATTTTCCGAAGTAATGTGTTCTTTGGCCTTCCTCTTTTCTGCTTCCCTTCAGGATTCCAAGTTAGGACTTGCCTCGTGATGCAGTTTGGTGATTTGCGTATTGTACGTCCTATCCATTTCCATCGTCTTCTCCTGATTTCTTCTTTAGCTGTAAGCTGGTTTGTTCTCTCCCACAAAAAGCAGTTGCTGATGGTATCCGGCCAATGGATGTTGAGTATCTTGCGTAGACAACCATTTATGAATACTTGTACTTTCTTGATGGTGGTTGTTGTAGTTCTCCACGTTTCAGCTCCATACAGTTGAACTGTCTTGACGTTCGTACTGAAGATTGTGACTTTGATACTGATTAACATTTGGTTTAGGTTTCATAGGTTCTTCATCTATAGGAATTTGCCAATCCTCTCTTTCACTTCTGATTCAGAACATCCACTTTCATCGATGATGCTTCTCAGGTACGTGAAAGGTTCCACATCTTCCAGATCTTCTCCATCAAGTGAGATTGAGTTGATGTTCTCCGTTTGTATTTGAGGATGTCACATTTTTCTTTGTGTATGTTGAAGTTTACTGCTACTACACTGGCTGTCTTCATCTGCATTTGTTCGTGTGCATGAGATAGAAAAGTTAAGTCATCTAAGGAGTCCAAATATTCTGGTTGATTCCGAGCTGTTCACCGGATTCCGTGCTTCCCCTCAGATGTGGAGGAATTCATAATTCAGTCAACCACCATAAGAAAGAGAAAGGGTGAGAGTAAGCAACCTTGTTTGATTCCTGTTCTCACTTGGAATCCACCCATTAGTTGTCATCTCATATTAATTATTAGGTATAGTAAATTGAATTGGATTATTATTAATATAGGATGTTTCAAGGGATTATTTTATTTGTAGTTGATATCAGTAAATACTTGACTGTTCCCATTGATGTTTAGGACTGCAATTGATTCGTCACTTATTGACATATGTGCATACTGCATGTATTGCCTCGATATCACTTTAATTTATAAGCACTCTAAGCAAAGATGAATAGTGGCTACCATTGGAATCTATCAATGAGAGAATTCAAGTCAACAATACCAAGTGAATATAAATGAACAACAAACACTTACGTATCATCACATGTTGCAAAATCCGGTTCATTCGGTAAAGGAATAATATTCGATTGAGCCAATTGATAAAGTTCTGTTTTAAGATTCATTATTTGTTCTGGTGTCAATTCAGATTTAGACGATTTTCGTAAAGATGATGTTTTTGACGAATTCTTTTTGTTCATTGTTTTATGATTTAATGATGATTGTATTCCCTCACAAATTTAATTCACAGATTTAATGTGTAGAGATGGAATGTGAAGTGTAGTTTATATCTGTAATAGAACATAAAAAATTGAATTTAATGTGTCCATAGTTTTTATTGAAGTTACTTTCCATCTTCAAGAAACAAATGACGGATGGAAATATTGATTGATTTCAAAAGATTGGCTTGCATATCTTACGTAATACAAGAGAATTATTTGTTGGGGAGAGGCAGAAAACTCTTCGAAAAAAGCTAAGAAATGCTCTGAAAACATTGAGAAGCATCTTATCCAATCAGCATTCACTAGAAGTTTAGCCAGAAACATCAAGAAAGTAAAGTCACATGTAGAGTTTCTGATTGATTGATTGATTACTTATACTGCTACTACGTTCATTAGCATTCTAGAATTTTCGGGAAACCCAAGGACATCTAAAATACTATAGCCCTATATTTTCTGTACATACACGAATATTTGGAGTAAAGTGTTTCTTGCAGATTTCGCGCCTTTTCTCTTGTGTTCAAGTCACTGTGTAGACCTATCCTATGGGTTACTAGAAGAACTTGGGAAACAAGTCTAGCGTTCAATTAACAAAACTTATCATTATTGTTATTCCATTGGAAACCATTCGCTACAGCAGATCCAGCCGAAGTAGACAATGTCTCATTTATATTTTATATTTCAAGTTCATTCTACTTGTGAGTAGTACAATTCTTCTCACTAAATATTATCGAATCGCATGGGATTTCATAAATTTATCGTGTGATGTGAATCAAATTCTTCTCCTAAACAACATTATCTGCATATCACAAGTATCAGGCTGTATGTACACAAGTTAGTTTCATATCGGTGGTCTTGAATGACATCACGATCTCTCAGTTCACTCTCAGTTGATCATGTACAGTTTATCAGATTAACACATTGTTGAATACTCTGTTCATAAGATGAAGTATTAGTTCTAAGTTTGATAGAAAAGTAATTGGTAACCATATTTTAAAATATACTTCTATGAAGCAATAATAACCATATTTCTAGGTCATCTTTTCGCCGTATATCTTTCTATTGATACCCATTTCCCCCCTCCGGCACATTTCATAAATTTTTGATGATGACATATGTAAATGATAAAAATTTCATTTCAGCTTTATTTCCGGTTCCAGAAATGATCAATAATATTTCTTTGTAGCATAGTTACAATTTTTCGCAAATAACGGAAGTAATTAGAACAAAAAATGTTGGTACTGCGATATTTCATTTTTGTCTTTGTATCTTTATTTCAATGACCATTATGATCGAGATTAATCTAATACCCTGGTAAGTCAATTGTTTAAACAACAATTCAGTCTGTACTGGTATTTCATCATGAAAATGAATTTCTTCAAGAGTAAGTGAACTGTATTTATATCAGTCAAGTGTGGATTAAAAATGGTAATTCACTGATGCTAATAGATAGACTGGCAAATCCTCACATGAAATTCTCAAGTTCAAACGAGAAGAGAAAGACCAAAGAACACATTACGTCGAGAAATGCAGACAGGCATGAGAAAATTGAACAAAAACAGGATAGAACTAGAAAGGAAGGCCCAAGACAGATTGGGTTGTAGAATGCTGGTCGGGGTACTATACTTAATCGAGAGTAACAGGCGTGAGTAAGTCAGTAGGTAAGTAAGTAAGTAAGTAAGTAAGTAAGTAAATAAGTAAGTAAGTAAGTAAGTAAGTAAGTAAGTAAGTAAGTAAGTAAGTAAGTAAGTAAGTAAGTAAGTAAGTAAGTAAGTAAGTAAGTAAGTAAGTAAGTAAGTAAGTAAGTAAGTAAGTAAGTAAGTAAGTAAGTAAGTGAGTAAGTAAGTAAGTAAGTAAGTAAGTAAGTAAGTAAGTAAGTAAGTAAGTAAGTAAGTAAGTAAGTAAGTAATATATACACTGGAATTCGAAAATGTGAACTAGTACATTCTAATTCAATAATGTGTAAGGAATTCGGTTATTTGAAGGCTCTTGAAGTAGAAATCAATCGTGGATTGATTTAAGTTAAATAAGTTAACACCGTCGGATCCCTGCTCTACGTTTCAAAGTTTAGGCTTTTGATCGAGAGAATGAAGGTCCTGGGATCATTCTTTGCATGAGGAGTCGTGGATGCACACTGATGCACTTCTTAGGAGTCCCATACTTTGATGAGTTGGCTATTCAATGCTTCTATGTTTTCAATGGAGGTCTAACATAGATTGGTTCATGATTTCAATAAAATTCAATAATCTTTACAATCCTATACTGACTATTAAACAATCTCTTTATAGACATTGAAGAAAAGATAATAGAATTTTAAGAAATAACTGGTTCTAAACTGCTAAACTAGTGTTACAAACAGTGTTGTGAAAGTACTTTACTACTTCAAACATAATGAAGATACATTGTTTTCAAACCGGCAATTCTTATTCTTAATTCGTCTACCAGCATGCACAATTGTTATCACCTCATGACATAAAATTTAACTGGATTTTTTTCAAAAGTCACACATTTGATTTTTTTTCTTGAATAAATAATACTTAACCGTTAGAAATCTGGTAGCGCCATGTAGCTATCTTGTTGTACTGTGAGACTGCATAGCATTGTGCATCCATGAGCCTACATCCAAGATAACAACCCAAAACCTTCAGTTTCATTCATGAACGTTTATTCTTTAGATCATTGAGATGGTATCCAACAGCGTTGATGTCCAACTGTAATTAATTCGCGGTATTGCGTGACCAGTCTTCACTACCTGTGATGGTTGAACTCCATTGACCAAGGCTTCTCAATAAGACTTCAGGAATGATATCTTAGAGCTTTCCCCTACTGAGTTCGGTAATCTGGAGGTGAATCGTTCCTAGGTACTGAATTCGAATCCCGACTGGAGGGTGATGGATATGCACTGATAAAGAGTCCCATACTAGTAAGAAACAGCTGTCCAGGGCTTCTAGTTCTCCAATAGTGATCAAGTTAAGGTCAGTTCGTGATTTATAACTACGAAAATTCGACAAGTTCCACAATTCACTCTGTACTACAAAAAAACCATAATAATTTCTGTTCTTCATTCATCGATTCAAAAGATTACAAGAAATGATAATCAATTTTAAATGATCATAGACTATTTATTAATTAGTCTAGCACTTTCATATTAGATATTAGCTGAACAGAAATCTATTTCTTAATCGATGATATAAAATTTTTTGAAAAGAAATCTAACTCTTGAATTTTTGCGTCACCCACTGGTGACTGAATTCAAGATGAATGATAAGCCGTGACCAGTGAAGTCTGATCCGTGTCGGGTGTGAGAAGGTTATCCACATCAGACAATAAATGAAGGGCTGTGCATGATCATGGGTCGATTGAAGTTAGACATTAACATGGTCGGGTGCCGGGTCATTGATCTAAATTTGTTTGTTCGCACGAGAGATCGAAGGCCCTGGGTTTGAGTCCCACATGAAGGATCTTGGATGCGCACTACTGAAGAATCTCATATTAGGACGAAACAGCTGTCTAGTACTTCTAAGTTTTCAATGATGGTATAACTCGCATCAACTCATGAATTCAGCTGTTAAAATTACCACAATCTTCACAGATTCCCATTATGAAATGAATTTAGTTCTCAAAAATTATTTGAACTATAATGTCTACACTAAAACCAATAAGCTAGACAATGTATATTAACTAATATTCTGAATATTAAAAGTTACAAATTAGAAATCAGTATGATCACTTGAACTGATTACTCGATTCATTGTCATGAGAGGTTTGCTAATTAATAATACATTGAATACAGACAGAGTTTGAAAGTCGTTAGTATTTAATTGATTCATTTATTGTTAGTAGATTTATAAGTCTACATTGATTAGATCTTTATCTGACCTCAGTCAGATCGGACGATAATGTTATTGACAGGTTCATCACTTTAGTGTGTCCCTGTATTTGACTTCAATTACATCGTTTGTTGATTGTTATCGAAATATGCATCACAGCTACTATGGTAGATAATCGTCGACTTAAATCGCGTTAGTGAATAACGAAAATAAATAATTCAAATATGAGAATGAATTCTGAATGCGTATATTTCATACAATCGTTGATTTAGACAAATGATCGGAAAAATGAAACGAAGGGAAACGAAACGACGAGCAGTGGGGAAGGAGAGTGAGCCAACTCCATTTAACCAAGCGTTATTCAATAATATGGTCAGAACAAAATAAATTACAGACATTTGGTGTGAATAGGGTAATATTAATTAACACACATACGATCATATAAAAACATTCAGGGTTGATAAGAAAATAATTGACAAGGTCAAAATACAACATTAGGAGAAGAATGAATAAGCAGCTTGAAGAATCCCCATAGAATATTCAAAAACGAAGAATATTTGAGCGCACAATTGCGTTTCAATAACTTCATCATCAGGCTCTATACAGTTATAAGTCCATAATGATTGTGATATTTTACAAAGGCCAAAAATAAGGCATGGCATTAATGAGTTTGACAATGTTATGTGTTAACAAAATTGGTGAACGTTTGCATCTGTTACGATATACAGATATATATATATATACTTCAAAAAATTGTCATATTTGCAAATTAGAAAGGTCATTCAATAAAGGTCAGTAAATTGTTCAGTCACAATAAGATAATGGTACTATTGCAAAATTGAAAATAATTTTGTCAACTGAGATAATAATAATAATAATGTTGTGTGAATATAATATGTAATAAGAGGTTGGGGGGGGGGTGTTATCAAGGTAATTACGGTCAACAAATTGGGAATGATGGATATGAAGATTAACATATAGATAATGACAATTAATGATAATAAGGAAAATAAATAAAAATAAAGGAAGGGGTAAGAGGTTTATAATATTCAGTCTAGGTATTCGGTGATCCAGTCGTAGTGTGTTGTGTGCTACTTATATTGATATAAGTAGTATATGTCGCGAGTTAAAACGTAATATCTGGCAGCAGAA